TTCTTGTCCCCATGACTGCCCTGTGCATCAGCAGTTTCTAAGCCATTGATTAGGATCCCATGATGCTGCCCCACACTCGAAAGTGTTTGTTGAAGAATTTGGTGGCGGTGAAGGGAGATGGATGTAGGCATCTTGGAGACCTCTACCCACCCTCATAAGGCCTCCTCAGGCTCTGCTGGAATTTTGTTAGCTCGATGATGCAACAGTTTCAAAGGCAGGGAGATGCTCAGAGAGCAGAATTAGCCAGGTGAACTCAACTATCATCTCTACCACCTACCAGCTGTCTGACCTTGGGCAATACACTTAACTCTTTGAATTCTCTATTTCCTACTCTGTATAAATGGTAATATTAATACCTACTTAAAATATATTCATTAAAATTAAAATTTATTCATTAAATAAAATAATGAATGGGAGAGTGTCTAGCATGGATCTTGGTACATGCTAGGTATCCGAAAAATATTTTCTTCCTCTCTCTTTCCTTCCCATCTTTCTCTTCTTTTGCCAGAGTTTGTGCTAGGTGCTGCTGTAAATAAAAACACAAGTATAACCAAGAGCCTTCCTTGAGATGCTTGGCTGTAGTAAAAGGCAGACATGTAATCAGTGTTCTACGAAAAGGGCAAGTGAGTTGCCTGGTAGAGCCCAGAGAGGGGAGGAATTGAGTCCATGTTGGGCAGTTGGAGAAGCCATGAAGGAGGAAGTGGCTTTTGAGGAAGAACTTCATGAATAGGTAGGATTTCTCCACTTTTTTCTCTTCCCTTCTCTTCCATTCACCTTTTCTTCTTAATTAAGTATCTACCTAGAATTTAAAATGTCTAGAGGCACAGAAGCCTCAAAGAACAGTCTGATTAAGACCCTGGCTCTGTGTCCTTTTGGTCCTTTAGGCTGACTCTCCCCCTTGTGTTGGCACTGTCCCCAGGGCGATGGATACCAAAGAACAACCCACAGTGTCTCCGGAAAATGTAATTCCCAGAAAAATGTCACATGTGCAAACAAATGTTTGTATACAATGTAGGGGTTCATAGACTCTCTGGAGCCCATCTGTTAGTCCCAGATTTAACAACTCTGAATGAAGAAAACAACCCTGTGTAGATATAGTGATGGCCATGGTACTCACTTCTTCCTCCTTTTCAAGGCAAATTTAAAAGAAGACTTCTAACTTGCAGTTGGAGTGAGCTGTACCAAGTCCTTTCTTTAAAAGTGGGGCTCTAGAGTCAAACTTGCTTGGGTGCGGAGAGCAGAATTTTAGCAGGTAGTAGTGAGGGAGAAAGGTGGTCCTGATCGAGGAAATGGTGTGAGCAAAGAAAGGCACGGTGACAGGTGAGCTTAGGGCTATTTAGAGAAGGTGAGTAGACAGGTGTGACTCCATCAGGGAGAGCCCTGGTGCTGACTTAGTGCCACATTGGGTATGGCTCGGGGGGTAAGGGTGGGACTTTCTTCAGTCTAGGCAGTGGACTCACTGAATTCTGTTATACAACACTTGTCATAGCTATAATTGTACACTTTCTGTGTGATTATTTTTTTCCTGCCTGCCTCCCCCACTGGCCTGCCTTCTCTGATGAACACAGGCACTGTGTCCCTTTCTGCTCCCTTCTGTACCCCCAGCCCTGGCTGAGGGCCTATAACCTAACAGATGCTCAATACTTATTCTGGAAAATTACGGGTGGATGAATGGATGAATGAACAGTTTCTGAGTTGGGGGAGATATGCCTGGGTCACTGTTTCTCACAAACGTGAGCTTTGGTACTTAATTTTATTCTCCTTCCTGGTTCCCTTCTTTGCTCATCAGTGGTCATTACGCAGGGGTAGGAACTGGCATCTTGTTGGCCAGCCCTTCCTGGGTCTGTGCAGATCAGACCATCTGAGCTCTCCGGTGAAGCGTTCAAATCATGTTTGGCCTCTGCCAAGCCCTTGTCCTATGCACACACACTATTCGACCAGAGGCAATTTGAATTAATGTAAAAACATGCATTTTTAGAATCAGATAAGACTGTTTCAAATTTTAGCTCTACTTCTCATTATAAGTTATGTCTCTGAAGAAATGACTCCACTTCTCTGAATCTGTTTTCTCATCTATAAAACAGGTATGATAATAAATATCTACTTTATAGTGTTGCTGTGAGTATTAAATGAGCTGGTTAACATAAAGGGGCTGGCACATAACAAGTGCTCTTTATTTTATTTTCTATATTTTATTTTGTTTTCTCATTGTGTACTCAGTATTGCCAGGAAGTGTTTATTTTATTTAATTTTTTTCAATTTTAAAAGTAACTTCATGCTCTGTGTAGAAAACTTGGTCTATGCAGCAAAGCCTAAAAAAAACCAAATTAATAACTTTATCTATAAAACTGAATTGAGATAACCACTATTATTAGCATTTTGATGTGTTTCCTTCTAGTTTTTTCTCTATTCATGAGAAGTTTTATTTATTTTAAATAGGAGGGGTTACAAAAAAGTAAACAATGCAAAGCAATTCTCCCTCTCTCCCCTGACCCTGGCCATCCGTTCCCTTCCCAGGGGCAACCACTGTTACCAGGTTCTTGGGTGGCCTCCCGGAGAGAGTCTACATATTTAGCAAGTCACTGATTTTCACATCATCGTTCTCTCATGCAAATGCTGGCAAGGTGTACCTGCCAGTTTCCTCTGGAGGCTGCCACCTAAGTGAGTTCCCTTTCAGCCCTCATAGATGTCTCTGTGGGCAGAACCACAAGGGCTCTGGTCACAGGCTCCGAGGGCTCAGCGAGGCTTGGTCTCGGGTGTATATTTTTATTCTTTGAACTGAAAATCTGCAAACAAGCGAACAGGTGTTAGAGTTCTCAGTCCCAACTGCCTCCCCAGCTGCTCATGCGGGGAGCAGATCTGCAGGCGGTTGGGGCTGGCAGACGGGGGTCTGAGGCAGAATTTAGGCTTTCTCCAACGCTGACCCTCGGGTCAATGGCTCTACACTGAGAATTGAGAACTGTGGTCTGATGTGGGAAGATAATATTTTGCAGTTGGGATTGATCCCTGCAATCAAGGGTGTGTGTCTCCTGGGATTTTTGGAGTGAAGGACAAAGCCTAAGTCAATATGGTCCCCTCTAAGACCAGTCCTGCCCCCTCCCTTCAGGCCCCACAACCCTGGCACCCCCAGCTCCTGCCATTAGTTTCTCCTCTGCAGGCTGCACCCCACCCTGATCAGGTCAGTCTGTCTTTACTCTCACCAGGCCCTGTCTTCAGACCAGTCCTCCCCACCAGGCCCTCCTGACCTCTCTGCTTCCACTTTCCATCCTTCCTCTAATTGATCAAACCAGGAACACTGAGAACTTGACCTTCTAAGGGGCCCAGTGGACAAGTTGGGGAGAATGGAGTTTGGACTCATTAAAAGCTACTCTCCAGGGAAGCAGCAAATAAGAATGAACTGGTGCATTTGAGACACCTCATCTGTAAAATAAGTATTAAATAATATAATGGATATGACAGGGCTTGCTTCGTAAGCTGTGAAGTGCTGTATGTATGTATGTAAAGTCTTATGAAGGTGATGGTAATTTAAAAATAAGACATGAAGCTGATCAATGTTACGAATCAATTTTTCATTATTAAACTGTTACTTATTCATTATAGAAGATTTATAAAGTATATAAATAAACAAAATAAGAAAAATTCTCATAGTTTTATTGGAGCAAGTAGTGCCTCATATTATTTATACAGTATATTCCATCCATTCCTATGGGACTCTTTCTGTGGGAGGATTATTGTTGCCTTGACAACAAATTTTTCCGTGTGACTTATTCTGGCCAGTTAAGTGTGGAAATGACATGTGCCACCTCTGAGCAAAAGTTTCAGGAGCCTTTGTGTGGTTCTGCCATCTTTTTTCTCCTTCTGTCACTAGACAAGCACATCTTGGTTTAAGGGCTTTTCCATCATCCTGGGTCTTAGAATGAAGAGTCCTGTGCAGGACACGTAATGTATGAAACATTTATGGTTGTAAGCCCCTGACATTTGGGAGTTGTTTGTTACTGCAGCATGATTTGTCCTAAGATACCTGATACACAGAGAGACAATGACTATAATATTTTGGTTTATATCCTTCAGTTTTTTTTTCCTATGCCTATATTCTATATATTTTTCTTTATAAAAATAGGATCATAACGTATGTGTGATTTTGTGAAGTGCTTTCTCATTTCACCTGCAAATATTTCAATATCTAGCTCCAAAACATGAGTCTTCTTTAAATATAACAACACCATTACCACAACTAAAATTAATAATAATTGCTTCATATCACCAAATGTTGGTCATTATAAACCTTTCTCTGACTTTTAAAATTATTTTGTTTGTTTGTTTGTTTATTTACTTATTTATATTATTTTGTTTAAATCAGGGGCCCAAATAAGGTCCCTATTTTGTTGTAGGTTCTCCCTCCCTGCCCCCACCACTGTCTCTCTCTCTCTCTCCCTCTTTTGACGTATTTGTTTTGCTTGTATTGTTTGTTTTCTGAGGGGAAGGTAATTAGGTTTCTTCATTGATTTCCAGTTGGAGGAAAAGGTACTGGGGATTGACCTATTGGGTGTTGAGCATGCGCTCTACTACTTGAGCTACACCCTTCCCCCTCTTTGGATGTATTTGTTGAAGAAACTGTACTGGTTGTTTTGGAGAGTTTCCCCCAGTCTGGGTTTTGCTGATTGTATTCCCATGGCGTCATTCAGCATATTCCTCTTTTCCCTATGTTTCCTGTAAATTGCTGATTAAATCTGACACTTGATCAAGATTCAGTGAATGGATTTTTAAACTCAATACATTATGAACATTTTCCATATCATTTAATATTCTTCTACAACTTGCTTTCATAATGACCATAGAGCTGTCAAAAATATGAATGTATTTTCATTTATTTAGCTGGTCCCCGCTGTGGGTCACCTAGGTTGTTTCTAAATTTTTGCTACTACCTACAACTTCACTGATCAACCTCCTTGTGGACTAGTCACTTTCTGGCCTGATTTTGCCGCCCTTCTGTTCTTCAGTTCCTGCGGATGGTGGATGCCTGTGCAAGCTTCCTCACAGAAGCCTTGAACCCAGAAAACTGTGTTGGAATACTGAGGCTGGCAGACACACACTCCTTGGACAGTCTAAAGAAGCAAGTTCAAAGTTACATCATCCAGAACTTTGTGCAGATTCTGAACTCCGAGGAGTTCCTTGAACTTCCCGTGGACACTCTGTACCACATCTTGAAGAGTGATGACCTTTATGTGACAGAGGAGTCTCAGGTGTTTGAGACTGTGATGAGCTGGGTCCGGCACAAACAGTCAGAACGGCTCTGCTTGCTTCCCTACGTCCTGGAGAACGTGCGCTTGCCGCTTCTGGACCCGTGGTACTTTGTGGAGACGGTGGAAGCAGATCCTCTCATCAGGCAGTGCCCAGAGGTCTTCCCGTTGCTCCAGGAAGCCAGGATGTACCACCTTTCTGGCAATGAGGTGAGCTGATTTTGAGAGACACTGTATATAACTAGTGAAGTGAAGGATTATCAGACCTCACAAAGATAGAGGTGTGACTGGCTCACAAATCCTTAGGGCACTGAGGAGCAGATGTTATATGTTGATAGTTTCAGTCAGGCAGTTCTGTGGATTTCTGATCTGTAAGTTGGGGATGATACCACATTGTAAACAGCTACTGAGAGAATTAGGTGAGGTCTGGAAATCACCCAGCACCGTGCCTGGCTCATCCTTCCTCTTTCCAGTTGTGTAAGGGCGGAACGTTGTTGGGGAGTCATGCACATGAAGGCAGTGTGCCCTGTCCAGTCGCATCCCATAGGCTGCTCCTTCCCTGGTTTGCCCACTCAGGGGAAAACTTGAGTCTCTTGGGTCCACTCTGACATCACCTAGGTTCAGACTCATGTTTCCTTCCTGAGTTTCTGAAAATTCCTCAGAACTCACCTTCCTGTCGCCCGTCTGGCCTCTGACCAGTTCATTCAGCAGCTGGATGATCTAAAACTCAAGCCTAATCATTTCGCTCCTGGGCTTAGCCTCTTTACTGGCTCCCCACCACTTTTAGGATAAAGCCCACGCTTCTGCCTGAAATCCCAGAGCCTGGCCTCCTGCTTTGCTGTTCTAGCGTCATCTCCAACCTCTCTCTCCTGCCACATCCTAATGCACTGCTTGTCGTTCCCCAGAGTGGACCTGCTTTTTCAGCCTTCAGGCTAATGCAGGTGCTGTTCAAGTGCCTTTTTCCTCATCTTCATCTAGTTAACTTCTGCTCCAGCTTCAAAACTCAGTTCAAGCATCACTTTCTCCAGAGGCCCCTCTCATTCTCATAGCACCTGGTACATTGCTGTATCATAGCACCAACTACTGCATGTTAACTATTGAATTTCTCATCAGTACATATATCTAGACTGGGAGCTTGTTGTGGCAGGAAGTGTGTCTCATTGGACTTTTCATCCAAACCCTAGGAGAGTCTCTGGTATATAGTAAGTGATTGGCTAGTGTTTGCTGAGTGAATAAATGGGTACCAAGATGATGAATACACATATCGTTTGGATCTACCTGGTTCTCCTTAACACTTCCTAATGAAACATTCTATTTAGAACTTTATCAAGACAAGCATAAGTTTAGTGAGAGGAACAAAACAATCAGGAAGTAGTGCCATAGGGACAGTTTGTTAAGTTTACATGAGCACCCACACATGTTCCCACTGTACAACAGTTCTGGGGTTGGCTACCAAGCCTTCTTCATTAGGCCAGTGGTAGAAATCTTAGCCAAAATAGCTTAGAAATTGTCTTTCTGAGGCCCTTGGTTGCCTTCTCCTTTTCTGTGTGTCTTTTTCTAGTTCTGTGCTGTCCGCAGATCTAGTGTCATTTATTTACTCTACAAACACTTCCTTAAATATTTGGTGGGATTTTTTAGTGATGCTATCAGAACCAGTTTTCTTTGTGAGAAGGTTTTAAACTACAAGTTGCATTTCTTTAATAGATATATAGATAAAGGGGAGCTATTCAGGTTATCAGTTTCTTCTAGAATGGTCTTTGGTAGTTTGTATCTTTCAAAGAATTTTTCCATTTCATAGACTTGCTGAACTTACTGGCATAGAGTTATCCATGGGATCCCCCTATCATTCTTTTTGATATCTGTAGAATCTGTAGTGATGACATATCTCTCTTTCCAGGTATTGGTAATTTGTGTCTCCTCTTTTTTTTTTTCCTCCCCGATCATTTTGACCAGAGGTTTATCAATTTTATTGATTTTTCTCAAAGAACCAGCTCTGGTTTCACTTGATTTTCTCTATTGTTTTTACATTTCCTATTTCATTTATTTCTCCTTTTATCTCGATTAATTCCTTTCTTCTGCTTACTCTGGGTGTAATTACTTTCTTCTTTTTCTAGTTTCTTAAGGTGGAGGTGGATGGCATTGATTTGAGACCTTTATTTTTTCTAATCTTGTCATTAGTACTATAAAATTTTCCCCAAGTGCTACTTTAACAGCATCCCGTATATTTTAATATGCTATGTTTTCTTTTGTCACAAATAAATCCCGAACACCAATTATATGCCAGATATGGCACCAGGGACCAAAAAACAGTGTCTGCCTTACTAAACTAATGGTCTTTCAGAGAAGAGAGAACACTCAGCAAATGAAGGGTGATGAGTAGACTGATGGAGGAAGACCAGAAAACCACGTGGGTCCTATGCTGGCTGTGTGGGTCACTGGCAGTGGCTCAGCACTGGGAAAGCCCTCATGTTCTTGAAGACAAGTTCAAATCTCTGCAAGTACTCTCAGTTTAGTATTTAAAGTACAGAATCTTGATCAACTATATTTCCAGCATTCTTGCTATTTCTATTTCAGCTTCCATTTCCTAACTCCCTGAAATGCAGGTGATAAAGGCTTTCCTCTTAAATAAAATGTCTCTACCATATCTTCTGCAAAATGAAATATCTGCTCTGCCTTTTGTATTTGCAATGGGGTGGAAGGGGGGAGTAGGATTATAAACTTTGGATTTAGGAGGAGAGAGAATTTTGATAACTGAAAAATTCTCCAGTGTCAGGAATTTGGGCTTGTAGTCAGGTGAATCTGGGCTTTAAACTTGACTGCCTAGTTTACCTACAGTGTGACCTTGGGCCAGTTACTTGGCTGCTCTAAGGCTCAGTCCTGACTTGTAACATGGGGATGATAATACCTACCAATTGACAGAATTGTTCTGAGAATTAAATAAGATAATGAATGAGGTGAGTTAGCACAATGTCGGACACAGAGTAAGTGCCCCACAAATAAAGACTGTTCTTAATCTCCCTCAGTTCCTTTGTGCTGCTCTATCTCCCACAACCAAGTGTTTTCTTTCTCTGAGGCTAAAGTCTCTCTTTTCATTGTTTCCTGATTTTTTGCCGCCTTATTGCCTCATATCCTGTTCAGGGTACTTTCTGACCCTCATTTTATAACCTGGGTAACCGAACCAACCAACCACTGTGATCTCTGGGTTGGGTCTCATTGCCAGTTGATTCCCTGAAACTCCCTATCTTTTCACTGCTTTTATGATCTTAGGTTTATTCCTGATGACACTGGTGTAAGCCTGGAGGATACTCTGTGAATACGTTTCTCCTCCTAACCTTTATTTCCCAAACTTTAACCCTGCTTGTCCTATTATTATCTCTCCCTTTTAACCTTGTGCCTCCTCTAAGCTCATGGAGGTGGTGACAAAGGGAAATTTTAGAACCCTAAAAGCAAATGTCAATTTATATTTGATTTAAAAGTAGTAGCTGGTACCTTCAGTGGGAGAGGTCTTTTGGGCCAGAGAAAGTTACTCCTTCATTTCATTGCCACCTAAGTTTCCAGGAAGAAACTTGATCTATAACAAAGATTACTCTATGTGTGGTGTCCAGGAGGCTCACTCCTGAGGACAGAAGGGCAGAAACTCACGCTTGAGGACAGCTTTGTTGAAGCAGTATGGTTACTTCTGTTTGGTCCTCTTCTTAAAGCTCTGTGGACAATGAGTAGTCAGTAAGGTGCAACTGTTTGCTCTATTTTTAACAACTTGAAACCTGTTAGGCCTGATTATTGCATGCAGTTCATTGGCAAACAGTTCCCTGTGTCTGCAATGAACTTGCACATCTCTGACTTCAGATTGGCACTTGCCATGCTTTGGGGGTTAATATTTTGCAAAATATAGCAGAACTTACAATTTGGTAATGGTGCCACCACTTGGCAGTTCTGTGGTGCTGAGTTACAAGGCAGGTCTCAATACACAGCCAGTGCCATCAACTAGATGACTGAATCAGTTATCTATTGCTGTGCAATGAATTATCCCAAAACAGCAGTTTTAAACAACAAATGTTTATTATTAAACAGGTGTCAGGAGTCTAGGAGTGATTTAGGTGGGTGGTTCTGGCTCAGAGTCTCTTCTGAAGCTACTGTTGGCTGGGGCTGCAGTCATCTCAAAGCTCAAGGTGGGCTGGAGAACTCTTCCAGGCTCACTCCCAGGATTGTAGACAGGTGTCACTTCCTTGTTAGTTATTGGCTGGAAGCCTCTCCACAGCAGCTGGTTTCTCCCAGAGCAAATGACCCAAGAAAGACTGAGAGAGCCATCAAGATGGAAGCCGTAGCACCTTCATAACTTAATTTCAGAAGTAGTTTATCATCACTACTGTATTCTACTGGCATAGAGACTGACCCAGGAACAATGTGGAGGGAACAACATAGGATGTAAATGTCAGGAAGTGGGGATTGCTGGGGCCATTGTGGAGGCTGCTTACCACAATGATCTAGACTGGAAAAAATCTTTATCAGGTTCTGGGTTACCTAGCTTGCCCATTCACTCATTCATTTATTCAGCCAACATTTATGGAAACCCACAATCTCCAGGCACTGTTCTTGGTGCTGAGAATCCATTAATGAAAAGGGCTGTTCCTTACATTAGGGATATTAGAGTACATTACATGGAGAGTGAAAAGTGCTGTGATGTGGGGAAATTCAAGACTGTGGGAACATGTGTGAAAAGGCAAGAATGGTTTCCTGGACAAAAGAACAAAGCGGCATTGAAAATAATGTCAAATGGCTTACAGGGTAAGTGGTGGGAAAGTGATATGGGAAACCGAGGACAGATACTATGGGGAGATCCAGAAAGCAGACAGGAATGCAGAGGTCCAGTTGGTGGGAGGAGAGTCTTCCGTGAGCCAGGACTCAGGACCAGGATGCCAGCCTCAGGAGATGGAGTAAGATCATGGCTAGTCTGGTCTCCTGCTAGTCAGCAGGCTATTGATGCAGGGGAGCAGGCATTGTGAATAAGATGGGGGCTTCAGAGGAGAGGCTGAGGCCTGGCTCTCCGAACTCGAGTAAGGATCACAGGGAACCAGTTCTGGGAGTTTAGTGCTGCCCTCTAGGCATCACTCTACAATCCCTAAATACCCCCTAAAGGAGGACCAGATTGGTGCTGGAGGTTGTACCTTAGCTGTCAGGAAGGGAGGTTTCAGGGCAGGAACCAGGGCTGGTAGCTGGGGGTAGAAATCGCAGAGTGGCAAATTTTGTCTTTGATGCCAACTCATTGCTCAGTCCTCTCCTACCAGCTTGGTATTCTCAGACTGCCTCCATCTTCCAGACAACCCCTCCCACCCTTGTCTTGCCTTTCTGCTGTCAGTGCCCTCAGGCCCAGCCCATTGCCCAGGATTTGTCCTGCCACACACATCCCCACTCCTTTTAGCTGACCCACAAAGGACAGCCCTGCCAGAGACTTTACGGCCACGGTCCAGCCTCAAGAATTGAGGATGCAAAATTTACTGTATCTGATTCTTTGATTCTTATTGGAAAATAGAGATTGAGTGTTAGCTGGTCTGATTACGTGTGACCTTTTATTGGATTCACCAACTATGGGCTCAGTCTTTGCAACTGTAACCTGTTTGTCACCATCTATGGGCAAGACCAAAATTCCACAGTCTGTGTTAGGTCAGATTAACCTTGTAGGAAAAAGTAACTGCTTTGGCCATGTGGGAAATGGGTGCTGCCTCTCTGTCTCCCATCAGCACACCTGTGGAACCTTCCCCATCAAGCCCAAGGATGGATGGAACCAGGAGGAGGGCAACTCTCACTTTTCCTTAATAATGTCAGTATGACACCTCCCATTGCTCCTACCACCGTGATTAGCTATTGAAGGCCGTGTGTGTGCCAGGTGCTCTGCTTGTCCCTCATGAATGCGCAGATGACCTGGTGCCATAGGAGTGATTATAGGCATTTACAGAAATTGTGTTGCTTCTCCAAGGTCACATGACCACAGGTGATGGAAGCAGCATGGAACTCTGGTGTATTGGACTCCAAATCTCTGCTTTTTCATTTGAGTTCAGATATCTGTGGTGTGGATTTCTTCACTTGTCCAAGACTCCAAAGGGTCAATACTTGATGTTGGTACCCAGTCCCCCAACCTCCCTGCCACATCCTGCTCCCTTTTGGTTCTTTTCTCCTAAGTCTCTGGATGCTCTTGTGTGCCCGCTGTCAGGACTTCTCTTCCAGAAGAAGCCTGGTAGTGAACAAAGTCTGGGATTTCAAGAAATTGGAACCAAGGGGGAGTGGAAGGTGGCCAGAATGAAGTTCCAGGATTCAGTGCTTCTGACCAGGCTAGAGGGAAGAAGCAGGAAGTATATTTGATGGTAGACAGACTTGAACTTCTTAAAAAGTAGCAAAATCTACAACAGACAATCTTTGAGTACATTTCTACATCAGGCCCGGTGCCAAGCACACTAAGTATATTATCATTTAATCCTCATGACAAACTATGAGGTTGTTACCACTAAAATCTCCTTTCTACACATGATGAAACTGAGGCTCAAGGAGGTGAAGTCACATGGTCAGACGGTAGCAGAATTGGGAATCGGGCTCTGCTTCTCTGGCTCCAGAGCCTGAGCTCCGAACCACTGTGCCTTTCTGCCTTTATGGACTCCCATTGGTTTTCCAGATCATTTCAGAGCGCACCAAGCCCAGGATGCATGAGTTCCAGTCTGAGGTGTTTATGATCATCGGTGGCTGCACAAAGGACGAACGGTTTGTGGCAGAGGTAACCTGCCTGGACCCCCTGAGGCGCAGCCGCCTGGAGGTGGCCAAGCTGCCCATGACAGAGCACGAGCTGGACAGTGAGAATAAGAAGTGGGTGGAGTTTGCATGCGTGACATTAAAAAATGAGGTCTACATCTCAGGTAAGCAGGAGCCACATGATGCCTAAGCCTAAGCCAGCCCCCAAAGGCACGACATGTTTTCCTAAGTGAGAGCCAGGCAACCGTCCTAGAAGAATTACAGTGGATGACACTGATCTAGCAACGACTGGGTCAGGATATGGAAACCAGGAGCTCAGGTGGTCTTATTGTGCAGAATGAGTTATTACTGAATGAACCCTAACCCTTGGGCAGTATTGTACTAGGAACTGGGGGTGCAGGCAGCCAGGCTCAGGCCTTCATGGAAACGGAAGAAGGAAAGTGATACTGGAGTTTATTCGGTGTCTGCTAAAGGCATCGGACACTGAGCTAGGCACTGGGAATGCAGTAATGAATCAGAACATCTGCTCTTCCCTCCAAATCTGACTCTTCCCCTCAAGTTTATTAAATCTTGCTTTCGGATGTTCCAGTAGCACCCAGCACTTTTTCGTTGCTTATTTATTTATAATTACTCTATGCCTGTTTCCCATTAGTCATTAAATTCCGCGGGTCAACTCTGTATTCCCAATACCTAGCACATTGTCTGGCCACATAGTAAATGCTCAGTAAATATCTATTAAATAACACAGTGTCTACCATCCTCTCAGCATGGTAGGTGAATTTATACTTTGGTAGCGTTTATTCATTTGCCTTTCACATCAACTCTGTAAGATAGGTGATTTTAATCTCTAGGTTACAAAGGGAGAACACTGAGGTTCAGAGAGGTATGGGGCGTACCTTAGGTCACAAACTGGTAAGTGTCAGGTAGGATTCCAATCCAGGTTCTCGGAGTCTCGTGCTCTCCCCGTGACATCAAAAGCCACCCAGCTCTTCCTGAGGCACCAAGCGAAAAGACAAATATCCCTTCCCTTCTCTCGGAGGCTTTCTCTCATCTGAACTTGTTTGGAGAAGAGCTTCTTCCCAGAGCTGGGCTCCTCCAAAATAAAGGGCAGGTCAGTTCTTCTTTGAATATATTAATACCATAGATTAGGTTTTAGCTTTCTTTTATCTTGTAGAAATATTTTTGATATTTGTGGAAGATTCAAGCAATATGGGGAGCATAAAGTAAAATATGGCAGTTTCTCTGTGCATTTACAATCCTGTATGTCTTAATTTTTTCACCAAAAGAATTTTATTTTGTCTTAGAGTAAATAATGTCCGCTGCTGTAACAAACTCTAAATCTCAATGAATCATCACAGTAGTATGTGGGGGTTGGAGGAGTAGACCTGCTCCATTCAGTCATTCAGGGACTCACACCTCTTCTATATGATGATGTGGCTATTTCCACACGTGGCCTTCAAGCTTGAAGCATTTGAGGAAAAGAGAGAAACTAAACAAGTTGAGAAGGCACACCTGCTCACAACAGCCTCAGCCCGGATCCGAGGCATTGGTTCTGCTCACATTTTATTGGCAAGAACCAGCCACCTGCCCTCTCTCCCCCGACCACCCACCATGCAGCCAGGCTGGGAAATGTAGTTTAGCATGTGCCCAGGAGGAAAAGCCAGGTTTGGTCCGTCTTTGCCGCAAACACTACACGTGTTATTTTATTCTACAGCTTATCATTCCCCCATCTTCAATTAGTTGTTGCCTTTTAAAAAGTGATACAAGCAACACATGAAAGTATGTTTGTTATACACAATTAAATCAACAGAAATGTGTATTCGATTAACAGCATATTCTGGACATCATTACATGTTGGTATAATGGATCTATTATATGTGTTAAGTGACACAACACATGTAAAGCACACCACAATCCCAAGCGCCTGGTGAGAGCTCAGCAGTGATAGCTGTCATTCTCCGTATTGTGAGCATCTTTATTTTACTCTTTCACCAGCTGCAGGGCTGCCTATCAAATGAATGAATTATGATTTTTTTTACCTTTTATTTTCCCACTTTTCAGTATACTGCAGTAGGCATTTTAATACACATATATTTATGAACTTTTGCTGCTATGTGGAGAGATTCCTGGAAGTGGTCATAAGATGTGTAAATTTAGAATTTTTGTAGATATTACTAAATTGTCCTCCAAAAACTTTGTACCAATTTACAGTTCAGCCAATGATGAATGACAGTGCCCATTTCTACAGCCTTGTTAGCATTTTTTATTATCAGTCGATTACATTTTTAATAGACTAGAATGTTTAAATTTACACTCTTGGATTGTTATTGAGGTTGAGGATATTTTCATACACATATTATTTAAATGTATCTTTTTTTTTGTTAAATTGTTGATTCCTACCCTTTGTTTTTCTATTGGTTATTTGTCTTTTTCCTATTACTTTTTTAGTATCCTTATTATATATCCTTTGCAATTTGTGTAGAAAATACTTTCTCTCAAGCAGTGATTGTCTTTTAAATTTGATTTATATTTTGTGTAGTAACTTTCTTTTCTATATGATTCTAGGTTTCATGTTATGTTTAGAAAGACCCTCCCCAACATGAGATCATTAACATCTTATTCTATATATTCTCCAGCTACTTTTATAGCATTTACATTTAAATTTTAAGTGTAATGTGAAATAGGGATCTAACTTTTCTCTAAATAAATAGCCAATTGTTCCACTGCCATTTATTCAATAATCTCTATATCATTTAGTCTGTTTCTGTACTCTTGCTTTTAATGGTTCAGTTTGTCTCATCTTACGCTAGAACCACAGCATTTTTATTATCATAGCTTTTTAGTATATTTTGATATTTGCTAGGGAAAGCTCTCTGACTCATTCTTCTTTTTCAAAAGTTCCTTAAAATGTTTCCAAATTTACTCTTCCAAATGAAATTTAGAATGGTCATTTCACATCCTGAAATCCATGAAAATTCCTGAAGGCACATAATATATAGATTAACTTGGGGAAGCTTGATATCTTTACAGTAACCTGTTTTCTCATCTATGTATACATATGCCTGCCCAGATAATCAGGTCTTCTTTTATATCCTGGAGTAAAAATGTAGGGGTTTTTTTCCTTTTTAGTAAAGTTTGCATACATTTCTTTGAAAATGTGTAGTTATTTTATGAATTTGGACACTACCTAAATGAGATCAATATCACAGTGTTTTGAAGGCACAAACCTCTAAAAGGCACAACCCCCCCCCCCAAATATGAACAAAAAATCACAGAAGAGGAAGACCTTCAGTCTCCCTAGTAGCTGGGGAAACCCGAACTATGACACCTTTTTCTCCATCAGGCTATAAAACAAAACCAACCAAACAACAACAAAAATCCCTCCTAATATTCTTTGTGAGTCTGGTATGGGGAGAGGTCTTTGGAAGGCTCTTCGGCAGCGCCTGTAAAACCTCAAGATGTGCACGACCTTGACCTAGGAATCCCACTTCTGGGCTTTACCTTTGAGAAACACTTACCCAAGACAGAGTGTCATCAGTGATGTTCATTTCCACACTAGTGCACATTTTTAACTCTGAAAAGTACATCTTTTAAGAAGTTTGTAGTACTCTGTGCTGATGGGGAAATAGAAACAAAAGGTCATTAAAATATTTTATTAAAGTCACTAAAAGTCAGTTCTCCTTCATCTTGGTCTCTCTCCCTAACTGAATTATGTTTTTTCTGTTTATTGGGTTTTCTTAAAAAAAAAAAATTTACCAGCTCACTCTCAAGTGATCTATTGTGAGCATCTCATTCTGTTCTGATAGAAATGGTTTTAAAACAGGACAAACCCTACTTATGTTTTCATATAGATCAGAGATATGAACCAAGAGAATTTTGTAAGATTTAGTGGTGATTTTTCCAGGTTTGTATTTGTTTAAATAAATAAGCAAACATAGAACTTAAACTGCTTTGTAATTTGCTTGCTGGTCAAGGCCCTACTGTCCCCACCTGCAATGCTCCAACTTTACCTGTCCTGCCTAACTTCCCACCCCTCAGCCACACAAATACTGAGTCCAGGCCACTATTGGCCCTGACTCACTCAGGCAGACTTGGGTGCCACTTCCCTGAAGCCGCCTCTGAATGCTCACAGCACAGAGGTGACGCATGACAGCCGGGTGCATGATTCACCCCGGCCTCACACTGTCTCTCCCTGTTTCCCTGTGTTGGCTCTATCTCCCCAACCACACCACAGACACTTTCCAGATTTCTTTTGTCTGGGAAGTGGGGGTGGGGTGCTGGCCTGAGGGTTTAGCACTTTCGGGCCTGTGGGAAATTATGAGAGAAGCTGTATTTCTGACACATCTAGTAGTTTCTTAAATGTTCTGTCTGTCTTCTAGGTGGCAAAGAAACACAGCACGATGTTTGGAAGTATAACTCTTCAATCAACAAGTGGATTCAAATTGAGTACTTGAACATAGGCCGCTGGAGGCATAAGATGGTGGTGCTGGGGGGCAAGGTCTACGTGATTGGAGGTTTTGACGGCTTGCAGAGGATCAACAATGTGGAGACCTACGACCCCTTCCACAACTGCTGGTCAGAGGTATGGGTTACTACCATGAGTAACTCGGTATTACTGGTTCAAAGCTTTACAGAAAGGTATCTGCCAGTGTAGGCATATGGCTTTCTGAGCTCTCTGCTCCCACTGAGAACATTTTTGGTGGCTCTGAGCTTCCCTTCTTATAAGAGCCATCAATTCAGCATTGCTGGTCAAATCACAGAAGTGACCTCCTTCCAGCTGGGGAAGCTCTGTGTGGGTACCAGTCCTATCCTGGCCAGAACCCCAGATACGGAAGGGAGGCTTGATCCTACATGTCTGCATGTCTTGGCCCAGAGTCTCATCTCCTCCGATGCCATCTGCCCTTATCTTCTCCACACTGGGCACACAGGGATCTCTTGACGACACTGTTCATTGAACCCAGAGTCTTTTGGTAGTATTTAGAAGTCAGCTCTTATTTATTGCCTAGTAATGATGAACCATTTATATGCTTGTATGCAAGACTTTAGCAATGCAACCTTGGGTATATATCATACCGAGGAAAAGGTAAAGCATTGCTGATCAATGGGCATAAAGTTTCAGTTATGCAAGACGAATCGGCTCTGGAGATCTGTGATACAATATTGTGTCTATAGATAGCAATACTGTATTTTACACTTAAAATTTTGTTAAGAGGGTAGTTCTCATGTTAAGTGCCCTCACCACACACTCAGATAAGGTGACCTCACTTCCTGTATTTCCAGATTATTCCCGATTTCAAATTTCCTTTCTTCTTATCAGATTATATGTCAGAGCATGTTCCAGCTTTGGGGAGTGTTAAACGTGGTCATCACAGGCACAAGCAAATGTAGCCAGGTCATGATGGCATCTGGCCAAGATCTGTTAACCTGAAAAGAACTTTATAGGGAGCCCTTAGCATTTTGGGGGCTGTGCCCAGGATCTTCTCAGTTCAAGTCCCACCACAAAGTTTCTCCATGACCTAAGAAGGTCATGTGAATGGGTAAGAGGCTCTTGAAAGTCCCCTTTAGTGTCCTTGGGTTCACGGGGTAGAAGCACAAGTCTGGTTTAATCCCCAAATCTGTATGTTGTCCCAGAGTGGGAGAGTCTGCTTACCTGTGGCCACCTGAACCCCTTACACCAGCTTGTCTTCCTAGCTGTAAGCTCCAGGGACAATGCCCAGCACATAGTAGTTACTGAGTACAGATTTTTTGAATGAAGGAACACACAAGTAAATATGAATGTATGTTTGAGAAAGCATCCTCCTCCAACACTGGCTGGTTTCAGCTGTATAAACACTTATTCCTGTCTCCCCCCTTCTCCCCTGAGAGCTGGACTCTGGGAGAAGCAGGATAGAAACATCTGGAGCTGGAGGGAGGGTGGGAAATGTGTGCTTTGATCCTCTGTGTCTTAAGGGGAGTCAAGCCCACAGGACTTGTGACTTCAGGCAAAGGATGCTCAGGCTTGTGTCCCCTGGCTCCTGGCCTGTGTCCTGTGAGCCACTGCAGCAATCTGTGCAGTGTGATTGATAGCTTCTCCCGGTGCCCTGTGCCTCTGCAGGCTGCGCCCCTCCTTGTCCATGTCAGTTCCTTCGCAGCCACCAGCCATAAGAAGAAGCTCTATGTGATTGGAGGAGGGCCCAATGGGAAACTGGCCACAGACAAGACTCAGTGTTATGACCCTTCAACCAATAAGTGGAATTTAAAGTCGGCCATGCCAGTAGAGGCTAAATGCATCAATGCAGTGAGTTTCCGGGATCGCATCTATGTGGTGGGTAAGTGAATGAACGGCTTCTTATTAAACCAAGGCCCCCTACCCATGCAGCCATGCAGATAGCACACAAGCCCCTCCTGGGAACCCTCAAATTCCTGGGTGATGTGGATGGGGTTGAAAAGAAAGAGAAGATGGGATTGGTCCAGACTTTGGTGGAATTTACTTTGCAACCCTGGAGGCAGAAACAACCCACATTTAGGAGACATACAAAGCAGATGGATAATGGGGCCCAGGGGAGGAGCCAGAAGTTGCTGTGGGAACAAAGTGTGTTGTAAGTATTGGTAATGCACAGAAATTGAAATGTGCACAGTATAAGTGCCCAATAAATGGTAGCTATTATGATTTCTTACTTTGTGTTCATGGGAATTTTGTTCTCACCAGTTGCTTTTGGGACTGTGAAAAGTTACATTTAGCCAGAAGGAAAGTCTGACTAGCTGGCATGTAATTGTTAAGAATTTTGCATCTCAACCCTGACTACTTAGTAGAATACTCTATGGAGCTCTTTACAAAAACATGGGTCACTGAGCCTTACTCCAGACCAGCGATATCAGAATGAGAAGGAGGACACTGGCCAACAGTGCAAGGTATTTTTAATGTGTAGGTGATGTTAAGGTGCAGCCAGGAGTAAGAACTACTGATTAAGGAAATGCCAACAATAAATAACTTCAGCAAGTAAGAGCTAATCAGAGAAGGCTTCCTGGAGGTAAAACATGGGAACAGATTAAGGAAAAACCACTTCTCTCCCTTGCTCCAGGTTTCTCATATGTTTATGGTCAGTCTTGTGACGCTGCTTCAAGGTCTAAACTCAAGACGGGTAATTTGGGCTGGTGTCCCAGATCATGCTCAGTCTACAAAGAGATGCCTCCACCTCTTGTCACTGCCACATATATCAACACAATGCAAGATTTCTATGTACCAGGGCTTCTGCCAGATGCTTTATGTGCATGGCCCTAATTTCTTATGGTCTTGGTGCTCATGATTACACATCAAAAATTGGCAGAGCTGGGATTATGAGGCAGGTCTACCTCCTGCACCAGGTGGTATCTTCTCCAGGGAGCAGTATTATGGTACACTTTGGCAACCAGGTGAAGCCAGGTTAGCACCTGGCTGCAGAGTTTAAAGGGCACCGTGAAGTGTTTCCAGCATGAGAATTCCTGCCCCTGGTTATCCATTCTGGCTTTCTGGAGAGCCATGAATCTATTCTTTCTATTGGCAAGACGGTAGACGTGACCTAACCAGAAGCAGGATTTCAGTGGTTAACGGGGAAGAAAACCAGTAGAACAGTGAGATGCCCACGTTGTTTCCTTTCCTCTTCAGGAGGGGCCATGAGAGCGCTGTACGCTTACAGCCCTCTGGAGGACAGCTGGTGCCTGGTGACCCAGCTCAGCCACGAGAGGGCGAGCTGCGGCATCGCGCCCTGCAACAACCGGCTCTACATCACCGGCGGGCGGGACGAGAAGAACGAGGTCATCGCCACGGTGCTGTGCTGGGACCCCGAGGCCCAGAAACTGACGGAGGAGTGCGTCCTGCCCCGGGGGGTGTCGCACCACGGCAGCGTCACCATCAGGAAGTCGTACACCCACATCCGGAGGATCGTGCCGGGAGCCGTGTCGGTCTGACCGCGGGAGCGCGGAGGGCGGAGCCACACGGGGAGCTGGACCGCGCGCGGGCCCTTCCTCGCTCTCCTCCGCTCCAGCAGCAAGCAGGACTCCTGTCACAGGCCGCACGTACAGCAGGGGCTCCCGCGGCTCCCCATGGGCGCTCCTTGGAAGTCAAAGATTTGGGACACTTGACATCAGCCAGGAGTGTTTGCGAGACCTACCTCAGGAGAGAAAAAGAGTAAGACTTAACATTCAGGACACACCTGTCCCATGCCAGGTTCTGTGCCAGGCAGTCATACATATCAGTGCCTTTACCATCATAATGACTTGGTACCTGGATGTTACCACTCTTGTTTTACAGGTGAGGAAACCGAGTTTAAGAGAGCCTAAGTGATTTGCCCCTAGGCACTCAAGTCAGAAGTAAATCCGGAGTCTAAACCTAGGTCTTTCATTGTCAAAGTTAGCGCAGGTTCTGTGATGCTGTCTGTCTCAGAGCAGGAAAAACAAACAAACAAACAACTCTCTGTTGTTGTTGTTCTGACAAGTTTGCTAAAGGATTCACTCAGCAAGGCAGGGAAATAAAGGAAATGTTTCTTTTTTCTTTCCTTTTTTCCCGTATATTTAAACCATATGGGATCTTTGGTGTTAGAGCTTTGGGCTCCTTGTCAAGAGTGTCTCATAGGTTTTTCCATCTGACAATTCTGGGGAGATGGATCTGGGAAGACCTGTTTGCTAAGAAAGATGTAAAAGATTTCTGTCCTCCCCCATCAAAAGCCTGTATTTCTTATGATTACAGGGGGCCCATTTTGGACTGGAACTGTCACTGCCAGAAAGAATTGTACCTTCAGCACAGTCCAGTGCCCTGGCCTCTTAATGTCCAACAGTTGTATTGTAATGTAGAAAAGATTTTTCCAGAGGCTCAGAATGCCATTTTTTTAAAAAAAAAATGTAGACATCCTTACATTGCCGGCCACTGAGGAATGACCGACTATTTTTGACAGTATACTTTCTACTTTTTAGACAGTGATTTGGGTTCATGTCTCTAGGACCCTACCCTCCTGGAACTTTCATTTTCAGGATCCTTTTCAGCCCTTTTTTTGTTTGTTTCTGGATCGGCTTGGCACAATTTTGACACAAAGAACAGAGTCTGTTCTTCAGTCTAAGAGACAGAGCTTTAAAATGAGCTCACTGGAAATTCATCCTAATCCCCCAACTGGGCAAACAGATTAAGAGATCCTGTTTCATACGCTGTACTTAAAAAGCAACAACAATGGCAATAACATAGTAACTGCATTACCCAATGTCCTTTATTTTCCTCATATGATTTCACATCTCTTTATAGAGTTTTCTTTCATGTCAGATGTGCCCTGTTGTGCTTGTACTTCTCAGCAGTTTGGGAAGGTAGAGGTATTAGGATTGATAGTGAATTTCATTTTCATAGAAAAGTTTTGGTTAGAAGGAGCTACAGTTCACTTGGAAAACTGCAAGTGAGGTTTCTATTTATGCTTACTTAGCTCATTGAGGATAAATATAAATGCATGCTGGTGTGTGAAAAGCTCTGTGCCTTAGGGTCAGGTGTGACAGTTCCACTCCCTGCTATGAAAAATGAGATGGGAAAATACAGACAGATTTGTGGACATTTAGAAACACACCTCACTTACTCATGAACACTGATAACCTTAACAAAGCTCTCAGCTGAAACCATTAATCTACTTCAATTCAGCAAACATTCCAGGAGTTTATGTTTGGCAGGCCTTGGGGACACCAAAGAATAAAACAAATCTCCACCCTAGAAATGCTCAATAAACAGGTAAACAGGCTACTGGTCAATGTTATAAATTTTCTTTTCATCAAGGTAGAGAAAAATGAGATGTATATGAAGTTATGAGGTTGCATCTGGGTCTTTATTTTCCTTCCAAATGGTCTCCTTGGGGAGCTGTGCTGTTAGGTCAATGATGTGGCTGTTGTTTACATGTTTGTCTTTCTTTGGGATCACCTGCAGAAACCATTTATGAGCCACAGGAGAAGTCAGTCCTATTTCAAAGAAGCTTCAGGAGAGAACTTTCAAAGAGGAAATCCAGTGATAGCATCATTGGGGTACATAGCCTCCCTTCAGAAAGACAGAGCTCCTTGTCCTGGTGGTCATTTGATTAGAGCAATTGGCAAATTTTGAGCCTGTCAGCAAGTCAACCCTATGCTGGAAAAGTGAGGATTTAGGATCTCTGTGTTGTAAACCTGATTCTCACTACAGGGGTTCTCAATAATGGCATGGGTTAGCAGACAGATACACCTACTAAGAAGATCCAGAATTCTGCACTTGAAGGTGCCAGTCTGTAACTTTTAGGGAAAGAAAAAAGCTCACGTCATTTTTAGGAAACTTCATATCAACAGGATTTAGGTTTCTAGGCACAAGCCAGGGATGGAAGCTCTTAAAATCTAATTTCCATTCTCAGACGAACAAACAAACAAGTGGCAGAAAGTTAACTGTCATAAGCCAGACTACCAGCAGGGAGATGAGGCAAGTTGGTGCCCGATGAGCTGGAGACAAAAGGCCCTGGGACTCAGGCAGGGCATGTGGGATGTCCTGACACAGCAGGCTGGACTTTGAAGCAGGTCCTCTGAGTGGATAGAGCACCCTGGCTGGGAGGAAGAGGATGAGGTAGGAGGGGGACGAAGCCAGGTTTAAGGACACAAGTCTAGAAAATGATGTCATGGGCCCTGGAGTTTGTGAGCATGCCTCCATTCTCAAGAATGGAAGGGGAGCATGAGGAATGGGGGTTCCAGATAAGTGAGTTCCAGGAGGGAACCCACTTCTTAGAAGTGAGGAAAAGTCAGAGCAGGACTAGCAGTCAGACACATTTGCCCGGGGCCTTTGAGCTTCTTGCTGGGTCTCCTATCTTACTGAAATGAGAGAGTGAGGCCCAGAGGCTCTACAGAGTTGGAACTTATAGGGGAGGTTAAGGGACCTTAGTTGCCAAAGCTGATCTGAAATGGATGAGAAGCTAAACTCACCCAAACATCAACAGATAAGTGTTCTCTTAGCTTTCATCACATCCTGCACACACTGGCTTGAGGAAACACACATGCACACACAGCCCTTGAGCTCAAGCAAACTGTGCTCTCAGGGAAATGCAAATGTCATTTGCTTATAGCTGTGAAAGTATAGCTTTGCTATTTATAAAATCCTTGAGGTACTGTTGTTACTTATGTATCCTATTTGTTGAAAAAGAAAGGACTCAGTACAATTTTCAAAGTGGGTAAACACCATTGGAATTTCTTATATAAAGCCCTGACTTGGTGTTGCAAAATCTTTTTTTCCCTTGGAATCTGATCTCGGTGTTGTATTAGATCTTACAATTTGAAGAGCCAACCTTCATGGAATTCACAAATATCTCAGTCATGGCTACAGCAAAACCAATTTTGACAGGTTAGATTTTCATATTGATGGGTAAATTTAGTTAACCAAATCCTTTGAGCATTTTTGGTTATACAAGGTTGTATTTTCCTTTTAAGTGATCAAACTAAATGTATTGTTTATGGGTAAAAACACAAAGTTTTAATTTATTCAATAAAATATGTGTGGAGTAGGTAAGAATATATTGTATATAATTACTTGGTGAATTTTTTTTTTGCTTGGCTTGGTCAATATGAATAACTGGTATCTGAAGAGAAATTAATTCATGAGGGGAAAACTTGAAACATTTTAAGTGATTCAAGAGGGTTTAGATAAACTTATAGGCTAAAATTAATAGGATTTGGTTCACAGAATGGCAAAAAATACAGCTTTTCCCTTCCTAACACCTCATTGCCTCACTGAGCCAGCAATTACCAATCCATTTGCAAACTGTGACTCTCCTCCTGCCTGGCCTGATGCCTTCCTACAGGAGGCTCCCTCTAGGTTTCTGGTTTCTAGTCTGACCTCCCAGCCTTGCCTCCACCAAGATCACTGTGTTGTTTCTGCAGCCCTAACCGACCTGTGCTTCTCAAATCGGGACACGTGGAACTGGGCAGCTGAGCCTGAGAGCTGTGACTCTGAGCACCAGAAAACTTGTCATCATTTAGTTTGAATTTCAATGTAAAGATCCTATGCAGTTGAAAAGAAAAACCTGAGACTTTAAAGAAATGTGGGGTCACAAGAATTGCTTTAGTCCTGGGCCTCCCTACAGTTAGAAATTCTTAGCTCTGTCTTAGGAATTCTGGGCAGAAAACCTTGGGAAGCACAGCCCCGTCTCAGAGGTGGGAAGTAAATCCTGGGCCATTGATCTAGCAGCCAGTGCTCCAGTGAGAATCAGACTGGGGTTTTGCCCTTAACTTCACTGCCGAGCCCTCCAATTTCCCTGCTGGATCTTAGTGGTAATCTGATGTCAGAGCATCTTGGCAAGGGCCTGGTATCTGCCCAGCTTTCCTCAGCTCCTCTTCCTGCCCCTGGTGCTCTTTGCCTGCCGGTGTGTGGTGTCTCCTGGACCAGCCTCCTTTTCATTGGAGATGCAGCCTATATATAGGATCCCATCCCCACCCCCTCCTCCAGTGGGCTCATGCCTCATATTCTGCTCCTGGATGCTGCCACAATTCAAGACCCTTGGTGATGGGGACTAATTTGGGTTGGGTCCCAGGTTGGTCCCACCCACACCCAAGCTGCCCAGTATCAGCCTGCCCGATTACCAATCAGTCTGGTTTTCACTCCCACGTCTATTTCTAACACCGGGAATTTTCCTTTTCTTCGTGCATGCTCAGATGTCTCCTTTGTTGTTGATTCTTGCATGACTCTCATGACCTTGACACCCATGCCTGCCCCATCCCTGATCATCTGCCTGGCCTCCTTACCTGCTGCCTCTCCTGGGGTCTCCCAACCTAGAAACCTCACTACCCCAGCACCGTGGCGTCTCTAGGGTCTCTCCATTTCTCAGGTTTGGAGAAAGAGCAAACAAGGGTATGGGCGTCCTGGCTATCCGTTCTTTAGGAGGATCTGTGTGTAAGGAAATTTTCCTGCTCCCTTAGTGAAACTAACCCAGTTCCTCCAAGTTTGGCAGGAGAGGGAGAAACTCCCAGTGGGGACAGAGAGTTGGATCCTTCCTGATGATTACGCTTCAAAGGAACGGTTTTTAGGGCCTTGAGAAAGATACTCCCGGGTTGTAGGAGATACAGATATATCACAAAGGAACAGAAGAAGGATTTACAACTGTAAGCCCTCTTTAGTAAACGCTGTAAGAAAGGGAGGTCAGGGCATCAGGTGTTGGCCAGGGCGAATGGTAAATTCTTTCAAGAGCCTTGAGCTTTTCCTGACAGAAACTCGCAAGGAGATCTGGGTCATCCCAGGATGTGGCCTTAGGCTGCCAGCAGCCATGTGAGGGTTGGTCAAGTCTCTTAGAGCAGGGATTTGGATGGAGTGTTCTTGCAAAGAATGTTGACAGCTCTCAGTGCCCCAGGTAAAGTTGCTTTATGAAGCAGATACAGTTCAAGAAACAGGTGTGCCCGTCACTTTTACTGCTGCTGGGGGTATTTTCAAAGGAACTGACCATTTTCTACATATGCCCTACTTCTAGAATGTTCTGAAGACAACTAAAGAGAAAACTATGCTCAAACTTCTTTCAACCTCTGTAGGCCAGAGCGATGCTCTCAAACTGTTTGGAATATGTCCCACAGCTGCAAAATGAAAACATTTTCTGTATTTTCTATCCAATTATATTTTTTCTTAAAATGCTGTTTACAACCCATTAAATTAATTTAATTACCTCCCCCCAATCAGTCACAAGTCACAACCCACACTCAAAAAATACAAGGCTAGAGGGTACAGACCTAGGCAAAGACAGGACAGGGGTGAGGAGAGAGGAGGCTGTAAACCTTGGTATAACACACGAGAAACCAGAGGGGAAGAATCTGACTCTGCCAAGAAACCTGCGAGTCTGACCTTAGATAAACAGAATTCTTGTGGGTGAAATTCTATTCTTTCATAATAAAAATAGAGTAATAGGAGCATCTATTGAGTAATTTCCCAGAAACATGGGGCAGAGCCATAAGCAAAGAGATTGGAACATGACAAAGCTAGTCTAGGTAGAAATGCTGGGGGTTTTAATTATTAAAGTGTATCCTTGTAGAATGTTGCCTTCCCAGAAAAGATCACTGTAGAAATCTGGAGGAAAAACAACACATTAGACTCTGTTCTGGCTGAGTCATAAATAGACATTAGTGAAGGAAATAATGGGGTGAGTCTTTGTGAAACAGTGCAGCAAATACTGATTGAGGACTTAATATGTGCCAGGCACGATTCTAGGTACTGGGGCTCCCCATCAACGGACAAAATAAAAGTCCCTGCTCTCATGAGCTAACATTCTAGCAGAGATAGCCAACAATCAAACAAGTATATAATATAATGTCATGTAGTACTAGATGCTAGAAAAGGAGCAAAGCAGGGTAAAGGGTATGCATGCTACTTTAAACAGGGTGAGCAGATGCCCTTTCTTGTAAGGAGACAGCTAAGCAGAGACTTGAGTGAAGAGAAAGTTTGAGTCCTGGGAATTTCTGGGGGAAGCATATTCCAGGTAAAGGGAATAGCCAGTGCAAAGGCCCTGAGGCAGGAGGCTCAGTGTATTCAAGAAACAGTAAAAAGGACTTGGTAGTTGGAGTGAATTCTGAGTGATGGTAAGGAGTCTCAAGACCACCATAAGTATTTTGCTTGTGATCAGAGGAAGGTGATAGGGCATAAGACAAGTTCAGAAATGATACAGATTCACAAATGTTACACACCCAAGCTGTGGCTTACAAATTCAAGTCTGCTACGTTCATGGTGGCAATTAGTAGCGAAGGACTACTGGAAGCAAATTTTTTGTGAACCTATCAAACATGGAGCTTTCTCCAGATCCTTGGTCTTTCTGACTTTGCCCTGTGCACTCACATCATAGTGGGCTGGAGCTGCCTCTCCCAACTGCCTGTCACCCGAGCCCAGAGGGGTTTTGGGGAAAGCCTCTCAAATAACTAAGATGCTCTCCATAATTCCCTGTGTAAATGGAAATGGCAGCACTCAGATACAAGAGCATCTGGTGAAAATGAGACCATCAGGGGGTGATATTGGTGGGGTGGTACAAGGGGGGAAAAGGCAGCTTTTAAAGTCAGTGACCTCCAGGAAGCCTAGATGATTCTGTAAAACCTCTTATGACTATCCCCAAATAATGTGGACTGAAATTCAGCACATTAAAAACCATCTAATAGAAGCCCTTAGTAATTAAGTGCAAACCAACAAACCATTTAAAAATCTAGGTAAAATTGTGTGGCAATTCAGATGGGAACTAGAAACTAGGTGCTGAAAGTGTTATTTCCAGATGGTTTTAGAGAGTGCATCTTCCCAGAAGGTGGTTGGAATTCTCAAAAGGAACCAAGGCTGGAGACTGGTGGTGGGTTAGACTAGGCTGCAGTGTTGTCACCAACCTCCCTGTCTCCAAAGGAGGGTTGTAATAGAGGCTGTTTTTCTGCTGGTCCTTGTATCTAGGGCAGCTTGCACAGAGCCAGATACCCAAGTGAACACTCAAAGAATGTTGCTACTTCCCAGGAGTAATGTGTGGAGCAGGGTTTAGGGGCGGGCTGTGGAGGGATGGTCCTGAGAAGCTGCCACCCAACCATTACCACCACCTTGTT